TTGCAGGTACATATAGGTAATGGAGTATGGATTCCTGAAAAGAGTTGGAATGAGAAGATAAGAAAGGCAACAGTTAGTCCCTCAATTGCTCTGAGAGATGCAATGGCTAATGTATACTCGTCAAGTGAGATGGCAGAGCGATCCCTAGGAGGAGGCACGCCTGTGAAGGCTGGACCTGATGGAGTGAAGACTAAGAAAAAGAAGATGACTCCCCACAAGAGGGAAGCTTTCTTAGGTATGTTCCTTTTTCTGTGATACTTTTACTTCGCTATTTTTCATTTATCTAATGCATATATATACTTTCAGGATTGTACAGAGGCAAAACGGCTGCTTCATCTGGGAGCACTGACAAATGTTTCCTTGATTTGTCGGTTAGCAAGAAGGGTAGAGACACTATTAAATACAAGCTGAAGGAAGCTTCTGTTGATGTAAGTATTCTACTTATTTTATTTTTCCTCTTTTTAAAATGTTAACTAGACTTACTGAAATGTCAAGCCCTAATAAACATTGTTCTTTTGCAGAAGAATGGCAAATCCAAACCTTCAAGCCATAAGTCACCTACTTCTGGCTCCAAACCTTCAAGCTCCAACAAATAATTCTTATATGACCTCTATTATTTCTCCAACGCCTGACTGACTATCTTTTAATTGTTCTTAATTGACCCATGGTGACTCCTAACATTTATTTTAGTTTTGTTAATTTAGCGAGATTTTTTTTAGTTGAGTCATTTTGGATGTGCGATTCCTTTCTTTTATGTTTTTGATACTTGACACTTCTGTTACTAGTAAAGTACAATTCCATTATTTAAACATAGTAATTCGTTTTACATTTGCCCTTATAGTAATCATGTATATGTTACTGCTAGTGGAGAGATTTCTCTCTGTCTTTATTGCAGTCTGGCTGAATAGTAGCATGCAACGTTTTGGGAGACTCTTGTTGCGCCCGGTAGTTTGGGATCGTCCAGGAAGAAGTCCGTCATTCTCAGTGAAGAACCTGCCAAGTTCAGCGTTCAGCCAGCCCTATGCAAGCCTTCATAGCGCCTGATAGGTAGGCAACATCTTCCCTTGTTGTGCACGCTTGTATTGCGGGTTGGCCTACCCTGGGTTTCGCAGGCGCTGGGATCCCGTAATTTGCCAAATAAATCTGAGAATAACGAGCGCACTTTCTGGACGATCCCCAAGCATACAGCCGCTTTCCGACTCTGGTGTGAACGTGAACAATTCCGACAACATTGCCGTAAGGGGCTTCCTTCTTGCTGATCGGTTCAGCAACCAGGCAAATTACATTCCTGTATGCCTTGCGGTTGTTTCGTGCCATGTGAGCGCTGTACGTGGTACGCACCAGCACAGAAAGCGACGCACCATGGCCATTTCTCGCCACGACGAGATCTTCCCATGGTGAGCCTGAGTGCCACACCACCATGGGTCCGTTTTCCCCATGCTAAGCCAAACACCACGGGTACATTTTCCCCACGCCACACCAAACACCATGCAGACATTTTCCCCACGCCACACCAAACACCATGCAGACATTTTCCCCATGTGCACTAAACACCATGGTAATTTTTTGCCCAGTTCTCATGGTGAAAGTGGCCAAAAATCAGAGGTGAATTTCACTCACCATGGGATCACAAGTACCATGCAATCCCATGGAGTCCCATGCACCATGGGACCCGCC